GTTCAGGAATTTAAAGAAAGTCAAAAACAAATCTGTACACACAATTTGCACAACATAACCTAACACCTTTAGCATAGTCTGAATAATGAAATATGCAAAAAATTGGTTGCAAAACAACAAATAAAGGATAAAATAACAATACACAGTGTCTGCAGTTTTGCGTTTACATAAGGTGGCGGTCACACGCCCACATTCTTTAATGCTAGCTTTTAAGGTTTTATTTTCGGAGGAGCATAGGAAATAGCTACAAAGCTGTTGTTTTGTAGGTATGTTTTTAATATCGGTGGGTAAATTCACGTAAATTAGTTATGTCAACAAAGTTTGGTTGGTTGCACGTCAAAAGATCCCCAGGTTGTCGAAATTAATCCTCAGTCATCCGCTTGGGCGTGCCAGATGCCCGTCGTTGGTTTGGCACGTCGTTGGTTTGACTTTTAAAGTTTGGTTGTAATTTACCCACCAATATTAAATAAATGCCTCCAAAACAACAGCTCTGCAGCTACTTTCTAAGCACCATAAAAAATAAAACGTTAAACACCAACAATAAAGACTGTGGCTGTGGAACTGCCGGCCTAAGAGGAAAATTATAGGGGCACTGAAGTCGATTCTCAGATCAAACTTTTGTGGTGACAACTCAATCTAGACGCTCTAAGCATCTAACAAACCCGAAATTACAATCGTGCATAGCTTATTTCCTCGCTAAAAGCATGTTCAAAAATTGCGACACACCCTTTTTGGGAAGAATTCTCTTCCGAGTGAAGTGGTCGACGAAGGGCACTTGCCGGCGAGTTGCAAGCAATGGCCTCGCTCGCAGTGAAAAAGAGGAGTCTTATCTGAATATGTACCTATCAGACTGTCTTCGAAATGAGTTATAAGAAAATCATCCAGAATCTGCACGTGTTGTTAAACTTCCATCGGTCCTCACGATGTAGTCCGTGAAAAAAAAAATCCACATGTTTTTCTATTGCCCCGAGGTAAATAGGCAGGTCTGTAATATAGGACTTGGTATATGTGGGAACTAACAAATTTTAAATAATATAAGATCAAAAACTACCTTTTTCAGAAATGACTTCAGTGCCAATTTAAGGTTACAACCGGAAACTCAAACCAAAAACTGCATGCTACGTCAAACTCATTTGGAACAGTGTTGGACAATCTACGACCACTCGTACCTGTTACACAGCAGTGCAAAAATGACAGCACCATCGACATCTAAAAACACACATGGAGTTGCATTACCACGAAGCTTGTGTACTTTCTTAGTGGTTTGCTTTGTGGCAAGCTTAAGGTGCTTCACATTTCCAAAATTGGACACGTCGTAGACATACGACACGATGTACACGCTTTGGCTCCCATCGTCACCACTTGCAGAGATTATGTGTTCTGCCCTTATGTACTCATTCCCCAGCCTAAGAACCGTCGAATCTCGCTCCGACGGAAGCCTGTACTGGGTACTGTGGAGCGTGTGTCCAGCAACACGCACGCGATCATACTCAGAAAGTTCCTGTGCTGAGGCCAGCTCCTCAACGAGTTCAGAGAGATACTGAGGCGGCTGTCTTGGCTTACCGAAAAGATGAAAGTCAGCTGGCTTTTCACGTTTCTTCAATGACAGGTGTGCATGCACTTCGTCTGAGGCCATAGATTTTAGCTCGAAGAAGCTATTGCGCGACAAAATCTGAAAGGGCACACCATTCGATGAAGAAACAAGCTTCAGGAGATGACCCATATTGCTTTCGAACGGGAAGCACGAGAGTGCCCACAAAGGCCCGTGAAGCAGCACAGCCTTCGGAAGGTGCAGCAGAGTATGGAGGTGAGAGGTCATCTGCGCCTTACCGTACAGGCATTCTGTCATCACTACGAATTCTGTCATCTTCTCTGTGCTGACGTTAACGTCTTCTTTTAGTACCACTGTCTTGGTTAACATGTACAGAGCAGACACAAAGAGCTCAAAATGCTTGTTGTACTGTCCTGGCAGTACGTCCTTTACGCAAAGCAGACAATAATAAAAAAGCCAGCATTGCCACTCGGCCACCTTCCAGTACCTGCGGAGCTTCAAGGCTCGTAGCGGTCGATTGATTCATTGAGGTGGCTTCAGCTGACATAATCGTTCGCTCACGATAGACTGACGTGAAGGGTCTCCAATATAAAAGTCCTCCCCAACAGCTGAGAACCAAAGCTCAGTTAACTGGCGTGTCACGCCAAGCAGTGCACAATGCATGTAGTCCGGAGTAAAACTCCGGACTACGTCGAAGCCTGGCACATTCAGGAGCGGTGAAGGGCCTTTCACGCCGCGGACTGTACTTTTGGTCGCAGCTGCTTCAGACATGTCCGCAACCATTCCGCCCTCGGTACGGTCGGGCATCACAGCGGCACTCACTGGATACTTCACGCAACCTGGACAAGCGAGAGGCAACAAGAAAAAATGAGTAACCCCCCAAAAAAGATCAAATTTGTTTTCTTACCATTCACACAAACTCCAGGGTGAAGGCACCAGGAACACCCGTAATAGCCATTAAACTGTATGAATTTTGCATCGCAGCCCTCGAGGGAGCATCTGCAACGCATCTGATGCAGTAGACCTGAAACAAAATATGTTTATAAAACCAGCAGCTCAACTTATTCATACCATTCAATGAGCTCGTATAGAGATCTGCAGCAACTGTCCATGACATGCAGGGGCTAGTCATAAGATTGCACCCCGAGATACCACTGGTTTGTTTTTCGTAGAGATGCACAACAAACCTGATGGTGCCAAACAAGGAGTCGCGAAAATGTGTAGTATAAAGTCGATAAAGTTTTCATAAGCAAGAACTAATTTGGACCAACAAAAAATACCATGTATTTTTTGGGAGCTATACTTGTATACATTAATTATTTTTTTTTCTAGAAGAGCCAAATCCAAAAACCGAAACTGATCTAATTTTTGCTCAAAATTTGGACTACATCCGTTGGTGCATTGATCTCAAACTTTTCAAACTGGAATCAGTCATAGTATGCGAGAAAAACCTCTGTAGAGGTGACCATAGGACATGGCTTAAAATATACTGATAAGCAAATATTCCCCCAGCGTTAGAAGTGTTTGGGAGACGGGGGCATAGGCGGGAAGGAAGCAAAATGTATGCCTCCTCTCATTTGTTCACTAGAAATCTTATAAATGTCCGGGGCGGCGGTTCCCTCCTTGACCCTCTGCCTTATTGTTCTGATACCATTCTCTCCCAAGCAATGCCCACATGCAACATAAGAGCCTTCAATACTTGCATGCACTGCCACAAGAACTTCAAAAATGGCATGCAGGAAAGTTACCTTGCAGTTTACTGTTCTTCCGTCTGCATTCCAGGTAATCCCATCTTCGGCTAGTCCTTTCATTTGCGTCGCGAAGGCTTGCAGAAGTAAAGTCATGTTGGGGTGCTTTGGACCGTACCATAACAATGGTAGAATGACGGAGCGCCAGCGCAAGCACGGCGGCAGTTCGTTCAACGTCAGCTGCACATGCCAGATGGCGTAGTTGGCAGATTTGAAGATCGGGCTGACGTCAGCGTTCATGGAAACTGTCAAATCGTGAGGTTCACAACCGAGCTTGGCACGCTGTTGATGATAGAAGTCCCCATCAGTTACGTCTGACTTCTCTGTGGTCCTCGGTGCGTTTACATTGGCCAGGGATTCCACTAGCTTGTGTCGTACATCTTCATCTGCCAGAACCGATGACAGCTGAGCCTCGAAGGGTAGACCGACGAAATAGCAGCCTTTTGACATCAGATCCCGCCCCACGTACTGTTTTTCACACACCGAGCATGTGGGCGATATGTCCTGTCTGTTTTTCAAGGCACCCGTTGTCTTCTCCAGGAGTGTTTCGCAGGTGGGACACTAAAAGTGGAAAGTGATGTCGTCGGGGGAGGCGCTCGCAAATTTCCGGAACCGGTACTTACTCTCGGGAAGGCAGCTCGTTCCCAGCAGATGGTTTTGCAGCTTTAAAAGCTTTTCAATGCTGCTCCATGCCAGTCCCTCTTCAATGGCATAGTCCATTATCAGAACTAGAGCGTCCCCAACAGAAAACGAAGTTCCGTTGCCCAGTGGCGTCGCAAATTCGACGAACGGTCGATCCACGCGTGGACTGTGGTACGAGCCCCGAGCACTTTCGCGCTCGGCTGTGTCACTTTCTTCGGTGCAGCTGTCTTCCTCTGCATCGCTGGTACAGTCTGACATTTCGGTCGAAGGTAGAGTTTCAGAAGAAGGAAGAGATGGTGTGGAAGAGCCAGTTGGCGATTTTCCAATCCTAAGCCTATGTGCTGTAGACCTCGGCATCTGCTCGTATGGGGCAGCATCCGGCTCTAGATACCGCTTCCGAGTCTTGTGCCTCGAGAGCATTTCTGTCAGCTTGTACTTGCGCAGATAAAAATTAATTGGCGAGGCAAGTCTAAACGCTGCGAGGACGACAACACCAGAAACCAACGCACGATCCGATAGATCGCAAAACCGTGACAACCTTGGTGACAAGTGAAAACAAAACAAGGCAGGATTGGATTGGACAAAACCTAAAAACTGGTGAACAGATAGAGTGATGATGATGATGACACCGACCAACATTTTGGACTCACATAATTTAGTTTTAGAGCGTATCTAATTATTTCGTTCTTTCCGATTGAATTGCTTTGTGAGAGATGTTAAAATATATTTATATTATGCTAGAATATCAACCTAATCAGTATTTGAAGTTGGCTACGTATCCGGTAATGCAGCCAGGAACCAGGCTAGCCAGGCGGCCAGGCCACATGAGAGCCGGAATCGGGCCTTCTTTGTTTACTTCGAAAAGTTCGGCTTTTTTGCTTTCTTGCTCTTGACGCACGTGTATGAATATATCAAAAGATTTTTTTTTAATGTACGCTCTAGTTAGATTTCTGAATGACCATGATAGGAAGATCTACACAATTACTGTCACTAGAATTAGAGAGTTTAACCCAGCAGATGCGGAAGACTTCGATGCCCAGCTGGTGTATTCTGCATTTTGGGACGATACTGACAGTGAAGAGACCAGCGGACATTATCCTGCACAAATCTTAATGATGGCAGGTGAGACTGTTTACTTCTGAAAATCCATTTTTTGTTTCAAACCTGACCATGTGAAATAGACGCTTAACTATCGCGTCAAACATTTCTCAGAGACTCAAGACGCGCTGCGAGAAAAACAGCTATCCAAAACGATACGAAAAGCAAGAATCCATGCTTCTGAGTACGAGAATGAAGAAGGAAGTGAGCCAGAGCAAGTGAAATCCCAATCAACCGTGCCGCGCAAGGGGAAGGCGGTATGTTTCGAACTGGGATCGAGAGGCCTGGATCAGTAAATAGATCAATGCTCTGATTGTATATATGCAATTAATCTACTTTCAGGAACAAAAGAAACAGAGGAGCAGCAGGAAACTGCGAAAAGCAAAGCATATGCTGGAATCCTTAAAGCCCAGCTTGAGAATCTCAAGCAAAAAAACAAGGAGTGTTCTGGCATTACCGTATGTGCATCACTATTCAGATTTTATGCACATCCAACTTATAATGTGCTCTATATTAACTGAGATTTAACGTCTTTGCAGGCTCCCAAGAGATATAAACGAAACAGTGACACAGACGAGAGTGGTACAGACGACTGCCTTGTGGCATCGTCAGAACTGGCGCTGGCCAAGAAAGATGCCGGGCACTGGCGGCAGCGCTACAAAGAAAAGTGCCTGGAGAATACGAGGCTTCATGAAATTACCAAATCTCAACAAGCATGCGTTGATGGGAAGCTCCTCTCAAGTAAGGTTAACAGAATTTTATTTTTGTGTGTTGACGCTTGCTAACGGTTTCTAGTGATCAATATAGGGTAGCTAGAAAATCCTAGCCTTTGCCATAGGGATACTAAGGGGAGATTGCATGAAAGAAAGTGGTGGAAAGGGAAGGCAGTGTCCTGCTTTGATACATGCTTTATAATACTCATCTATCCATACAGAAAGTGAGATGCTGATGATTGACCTGTGTCAATCATCTGCATCCACAACCATCGGCCTGTCCGCCAACATGCATGCGTCGCTGGAAGCACCTCATGCAAGACTTGTTCTCGTTGAAGCGTCGTTGCACCAGCATATATATGATGATGTTAATTCAAAGTTGCATGGCATCGAAAACATACAGGAGCATGCATCATAATGGGCTCTTTGACAATGTGGGTATATTCTAGGGTGATTGGGCGAAAATAAAGCTTTTTACTGTGTTTTAGTGCACAAACTACTGGAGGAAGTGAGAGACCAGCCACCAGGCAAGGCTCGACTTCTGAACAAAGAACAGCAACAGAACAAGTCCCAATCACTCGGAAATGATCAACCCATCCTCGGTAAGTTGGTTCATTGACTTATTTGGTGATGATATATGCAAAAATGCAGCTAGGTGTTTTATTGGAGTCACCTCAGCTACTCCAATCACTCACAGGGATGCTGCTAAAGGAGGATTGAGGTTAAATGAAGTTTGAGAACTTCCATTAGCGGCTACAAAGTGTAACCCTAAATCAACCGATGTATTGCGAATAACCTGTCCATGTACATGGTAGTGTTTCATTTCTGCAACAAAGCAAGGAAAACACTTGGCGGAAGCAGATTTAAAGCTGAAGTGAATAGAAACAAAAATGTTCTCTTAATGACAACAACAAGGAGGCATCTGTGCTGGGCAACAGGCTGGCTGTATTCGAAGTGCCGTGATGGCAGGAAGTTTTCAGTCTCCGAGCTTACCATCATGGCTGCCCCATTCAGGTAGCCGGGACACCATTCCCAACTGGAACCTTATTGAAACATCTGGTTGCCATGTGATATATAAACTTAAAATCTGAAGTTCGGTTTCCTTGCCTGTGGTGAAAACGCCATTTTATGGTAATTGGCTAGTGAATAATGGTATGAATTGTAGGAATCCAGAAAAAAGGGCTTATAAAACTTGTGAGGTCAAGGGGCCCACCGCCTGAGTGGTCGCCGCGCCGGCTTTGTTTGCAGAAAATGTGCAGCCACAGAGGTCGTGTGAAGATGTTTTCAGCTGGACACGTGGCTTCCCTGGCTCTGGACAGTGCAGCGGGTTGTAGCCTTCAATACAAACACTCACTTGACCCCAGTATGTGGGAACCCATCTTCTCAATAAATGCTGGTTTGGGTGAACATTGAATCAGTGTGGCTATACAGTTTCCGTAAACAAACTCAGCACAGCAACTGCTAAGACAGTCGGGAGGCTGCACAATGACAGCCTCAATGTTTGCGAGTGTTATTATAATGACCCCTTTTGTTCTGGAGCTTACCATGTGTACGCGTTTGTGTGCTTGCATGTTTTTTTGTTTTTTTTTCACAACTCTTTATTTTGTTTACTCTGTATTTTGTGTGTATTTCAATTGTGTGCTTAACCCAGTAGGCTTTCGAGCTGTTGGTTAGCAAAAGAAAAAAATAAACATTGATTGATTGATGGAATATGCATCGAAATACCATTTCATTGCATTTCAGACGTTGCAATAGCATATAGTGACGAGCGTGCCTCCCCAGCAGGCTCCAATGCAGCATGGGCACTACCGCCATCGCCTGGTAAAATTATTTTGATAGTTTCAGTAGAAAGTTAGCTCGTATTTCTTCTGAAAGAATTTGAGGGTGAATGTCAAATGTAACTTAATGACAGTATCACATATTCCAGATGTTGCAAAGAGGCTCCCACCAGTGGTTCACCGCATCACAGTGGCTGCAAGCTTCAGGACGCCTTCAGGCAGCAACGGACAGCGTCTTGTGCAGAACCAGCGCCCGGAACTGCCTAGGGTTGCTTATGGTAACTATTGGCCTTGTTGCCAGCTTTGTGGCTTTGACATACTCACTGATAATTGCAGCTTGCTTCTCTACACTTTTAATAGCTCGGTCTTTAATGCTAATCACAAATAAACTAGGGGTGTGCAAATATTCATAACTTCTAATAAAGGCTACAATACTGCCCTATTTGATTTAGTGTATGAAATGAATACTTGTTTCTCCAGTTTCTAGTATTTTTCAAACAGTCAGAGTCACTGTTGGAGCTCTTACTTGCCACAGCTTTACTTTCACACGCACTTACTGAAGGCCTGCCATACATGCCGTAAGATGTCACTAAGCTCTTTCGATTAGGTTCCCTATATACTGGATAGAAGGTTTAGGTTCCCTACTACCGAGGCATGATTGAACCAGCTGTACCAGTTTGTCTCTATGTGTACGGTGCTGTTGTATCTATCTACTCCTACGCCTACGGCTAACTGCACACTTTTTCTCAACACTTATCTCGAACGCTCTGAATCATAATCTCCAACTGCTTCTGTCTCAATCTGGTTTGCGAAAATGGATGTGATTACGAGAAAAGCAACCGTGCAAGAGGTTTTTTTTTTTTATTTTCTACAAAGTTTTTTATGGTCTGTGATGCCATATGAGCTGTTCGTTGTTGCTGTTCTTTTTTTTCTTTCTTACTAACAGACTTTATACTCATAATTCCCGTGTTTTTTTTCACGATTTCTAGAATTTTTTCACAGTTACGCCACACTCCTGCCGAACTTGCTCATTGTGCTAGTTTTTGTCCCTATTTATTCCCACCTTATAATTTAGTCATTTTCATTTAGCCTTCTGCTGTCACAATGGTTTTCTAGGAAACTGTAACAAACTCTATTATGTATAAGCAGTGTATCCAATGTTTGAAATCTATTCTAAAATTATTCTAATCATACCCTATTTGGTCTCAAAAATCACTATTCTACACACCCTTATAAAGAAATGACTGTGCATGTTCCTGAATTAATTGCCCTTATGTCATATTGATAGAAATGAGCGAAAGCTAAAAAGTTTTTTTTTTCACTTGCAGAGTGCAGTCCTCGAGCACCACATTTCAGTTCATGTGGCAATGGCAGGGTAAGCAAATGTTTTATTTAGTCATGCTTTTTCAAAGTAATGCCTGAATTTTGCTCCTTTTGCAGTTTCACTTGAAGGATGGCGTCACCATCAGCGAAGTGCAGGCCGATAATATATTTGACTCTAAGAAAAACAAGCCTGCACTAGCAGTCAATGAGATTGCACAGGCCCTGTGGGGCTCAGAATTGCTTGCACAGAGGACCTATGGAGGTAAAGTGGCCCCCAAAGACAGGAATAATCCTGATGCGAAGCCGCGGAAGGAACTCAGCCCAGACAAAGTGTCCCTCGTCATCAGTGAGAATACTTTAAGCATGCTTCCTTGCATTTCAGAGTACATATATGATGGTCATACTACTTTTCAGGAACACTCAGCCACTGAGGAATGGCGAAGAAGATTGATGTGGCTCCGGCACTTGCAAACCTCTCGACCATACCCCAGGTAGCACACCGCGTCGGCCGGTATCGGGACTACGCCGGCCGGTCCCGGTAACAGGATGGCGGCGCCCGGCCATTGGCGCCGGTGAGCTACCGGCCACGGCCGGCGTCGGGGTTTCGTCTTGCTCACTGGCCAGTTCCGCCGAAGAAGTTACAGTGACTGGCCGGCATCGGGTTTTTGCTGTCTTTGCTGGCCAGTCTTTCTATGGAGGTTCCAGTAACTGGCCGGCATTGGTATTTTGCTGTCTTTGATGGCCAGTATTTACATGGAAGTTCAGTAACTGGCCGGCATCGGCACTTTGCTGTCTTTGATGGCCAGTATTTACACGGAAGTTCAGTGACTGGCCGGCATCGGCGCTTTGCTGTTCAGGCTGGCGAGCCCCGCCATGGAAGTTCCGTTTACTGACCGACATCGTTTTATCTTTTTTTTTTTTTTTTTGCCGTTTTTACTATGCAGTCAAATCCTCCAGATTTTGACGAACTGTGGCAGTTCATGAATAGCGAGTGGAAATATTTGCGTAGATCAATCCTTCGCAAATAACTGCCGACGCTGGTGTATTTGATCCCAGCATGGCAGGGCTGACGTGTTTTATCGCGAAAACTCGAGAAAAAATAATGCGGCGTGGAACATTTGCAGTTCAGGATTCGAGACTCTGACCACCTACGCTATGAAGAATAAATTACACAACACCGAACGACACCTTTTCAGGAAGCTAGTTTAATTTGATGCACTATACTTAAGGTCGGTGGTATACGCACGTGTTTGGCACTGATAAGAAAAATAAAATAAAAACGGTATAGCGGAGAATCCGAGTGAAGAACAACAACCACAATTAACAAACACGTGGCATGATTGAGCACGCGCTTTGAGTTACAAAAACAATAGTTTGCATTACATTGCAGAATCTGGACAAGAAAGAGATGTGTGTTTGCTTATGACGCTGCGAGATGTACACAACTTTCCTGAGATCATGTTATTGGTGATTTTAATTGAGTGTGAAAATATGCTGTTTCAGGCAAGAATCGACTATTTTCTGTGGTAGCTACGACCATCTAACAGAAATATTTCAAATGTTCACATAGCCAGATGATCTGTCCCCGATAGCTTATGTTATACGACATACCGCATTAAAAAAAAAGTAAATATAAAAACATTTTTTTGAACACGGTAGAACGGGAAACATAAAGGTGCTGTGGGTGTTTACACTGCCGGGTTTGTGAATGTGACTCCTTGGCGCTACAAAACATAAATGTTATCACACCGAACGATACCGTTTCTGAAAGCTAGTTTATTTATCCACACTGTTCTTCGATCTCAGGAATAAAAACATTATAGGCCTAATAAAAAAGTAAAATTGCGGAGCACAACCTCAAAAAGTAAAACCAGGGGGCAGGCGATGGATATCACTGATGTGCCAGAACAAAATTAAGTACTACTTTCCGGAAATCAGAAAATTAAGAGATGTGCTCAATACGTAGCGCGCTATGAGCTCAGGTAAATAACTGCCTTAAAATAGCGGTATTTTTGTTTTAATAGTGGCTAAAGGTAACCGCCTTCAGACAAACTTCGGCTGCATCACTGTGGCAGTTTGACCATTTACATACACATTTTCCCATTTTTCTCTCAATATTCCCATTATTATTAGCTTCTTTACTTCGTTGAAAGCACTTGCGCTGTTTGCGTACTACACCAACCAGCCTATTAGCACGGAGGGAGCGATTTATCCCGGCAAACAGGAGGGCCACGGTTTGTGCATTGCATCAACTGAAATTTGGGCTCGCACTTTCTATTTTCACATTCTGCGTGACTTTTACCCTAAAGTAGGGGGCCGGCGACTGCAAAAAACACAGCAAATATTTAAAATAATAAAAACAAGAAAAAAACGCAATAAAAAAAAATTAGAAAACTTTCTCTCTAGTGGGATTCGAACCACCGACCACTACGTTACCAGCAGGACGCGTTAACAAC